GATATTTCATTTTAACCTAACTACATCTGCCATAATTGACTTTATAACATAATTGACTTTATAATGCTGATACCATTCTCTCCTTCACATTTGGATTTTATTATAATTCTTGGCTCATACAGACTGAAGTACTTCTTTCATTTGGATTTAGTTGATGCCTCACTTAGATGACTGCTTGAAGACAAGCCTGTAAGACCCCAAGTGCAATCACTTTATGATAGAGAATATTATAATCTTCCTAAAAATATGGTGATCCATTTGATATTGTTATTAATATAACCAATGGTATAGGATTTAAAACTCTGTTCAAAAAAGAAAATCATGTAAGTATAAGGTGGCTTCAGACAGCATTACATGAGTTGTTGACTTGTACGGATTAAAATCTTAATTTAATGGACACTATTTATATGAACAATGGAGGTTAGTAATAGATGAAAACTTCCTTTTTTGATTTTTATATATATATATATTGCAATTTGTTTTGTTAGGACATAATCTAGCCATCATGCCACTCAATAGTTCAGTCATATCAAGAAGTGTTGTACAATCACTACCATAATCATTTTCAAAACATTTTCTTTCTTCCTTTACTCCTTAATATCAGCTCCCCATTACCTGCCCCACCCCTCTTCCCCTGCTTACCTTCTAGGAACCCTTATTTTGCTTATTGTCTCTATAGATTCTCCCAACCTTAGTTTCATATACCAAAAGACATAGAAATATACATAACAGAGTCAAAAATGCTACTAAAAATAACAAAATATAGCAGATAAATCCCAATTTGAAAAATAAATTTATAAAATATTTTATATGTATGTATGTATATTTATAACTAGATTAAGCTCAAAGTGTATCAAAGGGGAGATCAAACGTTAAAATTTTAAACATTCAAGTGGGATTTATCATTTTAACCTACTATCATAGTTTCTACAATACTCTCTCTCAGAAAAACAGTTTATTTCCAGACCTGCATTATGGTCAGGGAAATCACCAGAGGCCTATTCCATGTGTAGATACTAGAAGTGTAATTTGGGCTTCCACTGTCCTCCATAGCCTTTTGCAAAGCAGAATCTACAATTTAAACCCTGATGCCATTCCCTCTGTCAGATTCTGACTATATAATTTAAAAACCTTGGATCATAGATGTTGGTGTGCCTCCTCCATGTGGTCTTAGTTGATGTCTCATTTAGCTGGTTGCGTGTTTGTAAACAAACCTGTAAGACCCCAGATGCTATTCTTTCTGATAGTGGGTGTGTTAGTCTGGGTAAACTAGGGAAACAAATCCACAGAAACTTATATGTATAGAAGAGTTTTATATAAAGGGTAAGTGTACATTCAGAAAGCATCCCAACCCCGTCCAGTCCAAGCCCATAAGTCTGACTTAGCCCATATGTCTAACATCGATCTACAAAGTCCTCCTCAAACTCACAAAACACACACAATGACGCCAAATGCAGGAGGATCACAGGCCAGTGGGTAGAAAGTCTTTGACTCTATTGGTGGTGTAAGCATCTCAGCGCTGCCAGGGGTCTCCACACGCCTTCTCCAGCACCCAGGGCTGCATCAGGGTAAGTCCATGCAGCTTTTCCTCAGGGATGTCTTGCAGGAAGTGAGCCTTGCTAGCTGAGGCAGAGAGCTAGCTAAGGCAGTCGCACCCTGGTTCAACCATCAGAGTAAGAGACCAGAGAACTAGAAAGGCGAGGCTCACCGAGCCATTTATCCCTCTGCCCTTCAATTAATCCCACATGTGTTTTTCGGCCAGGTTGGCACAGTAAACCTTAACTATCTCAGGGAGGCACCATCTAATTTCTTCACTACACTTTGCTGTAGCACCCATATCTTCCATGACTCCTTCATGGGGGCTCTTATGGAGCAGGGCCATGTCATAAGAAGTAGTTGATTGGAGTTAGGATTAAGTACGAGACCAAAATCCATTCCTAGATCTATGTTTTCTATTTGCCTCTGATTCACCTTAGAGGCATCTTTATTCTTTTATGGTAAAGAATCGTATCAATCATCTCTCTGGAGCATAAGATCCTTATGTTTATAGTGTCATTAATGTAACCCATTGTGTTCCGTCGCTTTCACTATAAAAACATTTCAGTGACATGTGTAAGAATGAGCTTTGTATCAAGAACTAATTATGTATCAAGTAAACATCCCAACTCAAGTCCAGTTCAAGTCTGTAAATCCAATAGTAGCCCATAAGCTCCTCTTCAGACTCATGAAGCCACATGCAATGATACAGAATGCAGGAACATCACACACCGGTGGGTGCAAAGTCTTGTGGATCCGTGGATCCAATGGCGGTGGCTCTGGGAGGTCTGAGTGGCTTGCCAGCAGGAAGGTGAAGGTAAAGAGAAACAGGAAGTTTCCCAGGACCCTCTTTAGGAGTTCACACCCACAAGGAGGCACCATTAGGCTATGACCTGATTGACAGGATAGACTCCACCCCTACAATTATTATATATCTTCAAGTTGACATGAAGTGATGTAACTGCCACAGACTACCTCTTTTCATCTTGACACTTTTACAAAACTCTTTAGCCATACATAATTCTCAAAACAAAAACAATAGTAGAATCACATTTGTGCCTAACAGGATAAAACTAAAATGCATACAACTCAAAATGTGAATGCCTCATTTAAACATAATACTTTATAGGTGAAATAAACAAAATTATTCTATGCCTAACCATTGCAGTTATGTGAACACCTATACCATAATTCTTTCAAAATATTCCCCCACCCTCGAGACTTTATAAGCCAGCACTGCTTGCCTTTATCCCCCAATTTTGGTTATCCAATTAATGTACTGCCTGCCCATTGCATGTTCTTTGATGTGAAAAATCTTCATTTCATTTGAAACCTTGTGAGTCTGCATCCATAAGCAAAGTCAACTCAGGACAGGCTGTCCATAAAGTCAGCAACGCTATGCACCAGTTCATAGACTCAAAAATCTTACCTTTATCTGATCAGGTTCTGATCAACTCACTGTGGTTCAAGAATGGAATCGCAGATTTGACAAATATTTTAAGTGTAATGTAGAGTACTTTGAAGGTGATAAGGTTGTTTTATTAAAAAATTAAATATGTAGCTTTGAAAAATAAATTCCATTTTTGGGGTTTTGTTTGGTCCCCCCTCATATGCTCTCCATACCTCCTCAACTTGATTTTCCCATCAGTATGGCTTATCACTCTGGTAGGAATATCTGCTGGTTTGGGGTGATCTCATCACATTTTTGTATGGCCCCCACTAAATGATCATCTTCCTTTTCCCCACTTTTGAAAATTTGATCCCAGCTGAAATGAAGACTCCTCTGTCAAATTAGCTTTAAAGGTATGCATGTAGAGATGACAGTGTTTGGTTCATGGGCACTAGTCTGGCTCTCTGCCCTGGTTAGTAGATTGTATGGCCTGAAGGCATGAGTTTATCTTCATCTTGGTGTTTATCCTTACAGCCATAGCCTTATATAGTTTTAACCCTTTTTTCAATGGCTAACTTTACAAAGCACAATGATTTCCAGTTCTCTCCATGTTGTTTTTAAGCATGCGTACTATTCCAT